CACACACACACACATAACATACATACACACACACACACACACACACACACACACATACACACACACACACACACACACACACACACACACACACACACACACACACATAAACATACATACATACACACACACACACACACATACATGCATGCGTATGCGCGTGCGTGCATGCATATACAAAGAGACCCAATCATTCTGACAAGCACTTACATAATACTACACCAATGCCCAGGTACAAATATGGAAACAGTAATGCCCCCTTTACACTGGACGGCGTCCTTTTTGCGTCCAGCAGTACGGCCCCATTTCAGAGTTTAAAAATTATAATACTTTTCGTGCCGACAACTGGCTGAGCATTCATTCTGATACCAAATCAATGCTCGTGCCTCCTTAAGACCACAGCGATGCCAATTTCATGGTTGCAGAAAGGACGCAGAAAGGACATCGTCCAGTGTAAAGGGGGTATAAGCAGCCTGCCTTACCTTCAACAGCCGTGTCTCCCCCATTTTCACTGCCCTGAAATGACAGCAAATACACATATTGTTTTATTTTACATAAAATTGAAGATTGTCTTCACCCGACAGTTACATCTCTAAACATGTTTTTCATCCTTAAAAAATCGTACAGCATCATGCTATACGGTGTCTTAAACATGTAAAATATATACCTTTCGATTAACATACCCGTAAATTATCGTGCAAATTTTACATAAATTCACAAAATATGTATAAAGAATATTTAAAAAAAAAACAACAATATATGAAAATCATAAGATTGCACATTTGCATCAATTTCAACAGAGATACAGACTTGAACTTCACACATTATATCTTTTTATTTCATCACTAGTCAAATTTGAACCAGGTTGTATTTAACATCAATATTGGCCGTCTTCACATTAAGACTTCTTGTCCAGAAATCACTCCCAAACTAATGAGGGAAACAGCACAGTAAAGAGAAGTGTTCAAATGCCAAGGCTAAGCCAGGAAACCATAAACAACAGGATGATGTCTAACTAACTCACACACTGCCTCTGGGAATTCATTCTAAGTAAACTGTGCTTAACACAATGTGCTCTTTGGTGTGGAAATGCAATGCTTTTTCTATCTTGATGTGTTCACAGCTGATTGTGTTCTGCACAGCACACCTAACACATTCTGCTCAACCATGATTGTGCTACACCAGCACACCTAACACAATGATCTTGATCAACTGGTTCATTGCAACTGCACACAACATCTAGTACAACGAGACTTACAGTAAGGAGAATGGAGCTCTCTTTTAATATTTAATCACTGGCGGAAAGAAAATGGCAACAAGTTGGGAAAAACAGAAGATATCAGCACCATCAGTCCTGTACTCTGCCATATCACTCGTTGACAACACTAGCATGCTGAACCATGATTCATATCACCTTGTCACGATAAAAATTTCTTTCTTAACCTTTTTTTTTTGGAGGGGAGAGGTGGAGGGGGGGGGGAGGCAAATAAAACTGTGGCTGATAAAGGGTAAATAGTAAAAGGTAAACACTGCATGCTGTAAAACATTGGTTAATTCTGTCCACACAATATACCACATGTGAAATCTATAGCAACAATGTCCATGGAACTTGTTATTCTTTCCTGAAATCTGAGCTTGAATCTAGAATATACAGATGTTGTCCTTACAGTCCTTAAAATTCTGGGAAGAGTTATTCATTCCTATTTCTTAAAAAAAATTCAATGAAATGATTAATATCCAATTTTCCAAGAAACAAGAGAATACTAAAGAACCACAGTGCTCAACTGATCATTAACACCATAATAAACAGATAATATGAGATAGTTCTGCATAGGTAAACCATTAATCTCAAGAGGCACATGTTTCAAGATGTAACCAGAACCAACCTTTAAATACTACAGAAATACCTGCCATTTACACACTTCCCTATTAACATGAACACAAACTCTGATTACTACATCCTTGTAGCATATAGCCTTGTAATACTACAAAAATACAGGTAATTTATGCATAGTTCCCTATTAACATGAACACAAGCCCTTACTACTACATCCTTGTAGCCTTCTAATACTACAAAAATACAGGTAATTTACACATAGTTCCCTATCATAGGACCTACTGCAGTAACTCCTACTCTAGGCAGTGTCATACTATATAATATAGCAGGAAGCACCCACTAACACTGTGGTACTATTACTGCTAATGTCTCACACACAATACAAACAAAACATTGCAGTTGTTTTTTTATCTACCAGCACTGAATATAGGTCCACTCCCGGTGAATAGAAAACATAACCTTTTCCCTATATCTGCAACAAGCAGGGTGGCCTAGTCTCAATACAAATTTTACCCAGATCACTTAAAGCTTAACTCGTGGTGCTATGCTGTTAACACTGCCGCTAACATAAAGTCACCTCTCAGAGCATCATTAACAGCCATATGCTGCAGTATTTACCTAGTGTTAAGATCAGGCAATAAAAAAATATCCCATGATGAAGTGAGGTGTTCAGTAAAATGCAGACATGACACAGAACTGAGAGAAAATATGGCAGCCATGCTACAAATTGATTCAAAATAAGTATGCATCTGTTATTTTTTCCTTCACTTTTTTATTGCAAAAGGTCCCATGGTTTAATGCTTAAAGGTATAAATTATTAACTAAAGCAAGCATTTTGTGTTTAAGTGTGTGTGTCTGTGCGCACGCATGCACATGTCTGTGTGTGCGCGCATGTGGGGATATGTTGGTGACTGCATGGATATTTTAGTACGGATGTGTATAACCACACATATCCACTCACCTTCAGTTCTTTGACAGCAGACTCTGGGGGGTAGACAATAAAATGGCGCAGCGTGAAGCCAAATCCACTCTCCGTCCGCGGCACTGCCACCGTCCTTGGACCTGCCCACAGCGTCGTGCTGCTCATAGCATTCTCCTTCTCTGACTGTAACGATAAATATCATAGGTCAATTTAAACCTCAATGAAACAAGGTACGTCACTGGTCAGTGACTACTGCAAATTGTGCATCAAAGCCCTGAAAATATGAAACAAACCTAGCTCAATATTTTGCATTTCTATCAACCAGATATGCATGTTTGGCATTCAGTTGAAATTTCTGTACTGTAGTGTAAGTCTAATTGATTGCCTATATATGGTCTGAGATAGCCCTGTATTCTAAACTCTGCTAACGTCTAGAACAGGTGTGACCAGGTAGAGGGTGTCTGGGATGATCAGTAGTTAACAACACACTATCTTCACAGCTCTATACCAGTTTATTATCAAATAGTCCTCCTTGGTAAGTAATACCAAAACAAGTTACTAGTACATTAGTTGAGTTGGGAAGTTTATACTGTATTTATGTGGCAATCAATTAGTCTTCAGGAACCAATTATCATAATATACATGTCACAGATGTCAAAACTGGCCACCAGCAGTAATTTTACACCAGTCATTTATCTTTATTATGTACACTGAAATATGGACACACTGTAGAGTAGATAGTATTGATGTTATTATACTGGCAGACATGACATAACACAGGATAATATTATGTTCCAATGGTGTCTACTGCGGTATATCATTACATAATATGTCATATATCATGATAAAACTACATATTTCCCATGTGTATATTGTCCACAAATGTCAGACACCAGGAATGAAGGACAATTATTGGTATAATGTTTCTGTCAAGTTAATCCACATGAAAATCCACTGACTGTAAGAGCTTACAGAATCTATCAAGGGATTAATTTTTTTTTTTTTTGAAAAATACAAATAATTACATGACTAGGGAACATACTGTATTTTTGCTATAAGGACCAAGAGTTGCAGAGAGAATTAGTTGTATTTTCATTGGCAGTATTTCAAGTGAACTTGTAAATCTACAACTCTTGTGTAAACATCTCATTTTATCACATTTTCCTCTTCAAGCAGAAGACTTCCAGTGTGTTGAATTTAGTCTCTGCTCTAAGCTACTGTGCAATGTTTGTGTACACCCTGAACTTATAAAAGTAGTTTTTTTGCTAAGCTGGAGTGAAGAAAAAAGTAATTGGAGCATAGGGTTACTCTTCAGTATGCACGCATGTGCATATGCCTAAATACATACTGCAGATATGGTGAAACCCACTGAGGCAATACTAGTAGGCACGGCATATGTATGCACAAGCATACATACACATAAACAAATATACACATACAAAAGAAACAGAAAACACATACATGGACACACAGGGAGGGAAATGGGCGGTCGCCAGTCGCCAAATGCGACCGCTAAAACGAATTGTCGAGTGCCAAACTCAGTAACTGGTCCAAACGGGTGACTGCTCTATAAGCAGCGGCAACATGACAAATATACGGGGTTTATACTTGTCCTTAGATATTTTTCTTTTAATAAAAATCCGCTCCCAATTTTGTCTGCATCGAAGACTACGCGAGTTTCAGATGTGTTGACCTATTTTAATGATGCTTCCGAACACGTCAGACGTTATTTGCATGCGACCTGACCTCTTGCACCAGACTGTCAATTTTAACCAATCAGATTTTACCACAGCATTTGCGCCGTATGAAGTAGCAGAGCCTCGAGGACTGAAAAGCTACAAACCTTTTCGGTAAAAATACTAATTTACTTGAGTGCCGTTTTGTAGTTTTGAAGGGTAAATATAATTCTTTAAATGGTTTCTGGTCTTTTTCGATGTCAATAGTTTATAGTTACATTCAAGATTTTACAAGAAACAATACTTTTCCTGTTGAGGCATGCTGCCGAAACATTATCTTGTTGGAAATTAAATCAAAACTACATTTAGTGTGTGAATTGAATTAGTTCAACTTATCTTACAATTTTATAGCGATGTGGAGGTTTTTGCCTGGCAAAGCTGCCAGAGCCTCTAAATGAAAAACACCGACAAATGACGAAAGGGAACAACCTAGCACTAAATGTAAAAAAAAAAAAAAAAAGAGCGCGGGTACCTTCCTTTATAACAGCTACGGATTTTTGAGGAAAATAAAAAGGCGAGGATTTTTTGCTCCTTTTTATGGTTATATTTCAACTTTTGTGACTTTAAAGTCACTTCCTATTTTGTGTTAATACAATGGGTGTTAACCCATTGTTCTAATTCCAAACCTTGTTTAGGTAAACACAGTTTACCAGAGATTAATAACATCTTTATATTTTTTAACCTAATAGTTAAAATACTTGATTCCTATTGTGTAATGTGGCGTCATTTCCTTTAACCATAAAAGGTGGGGAGAAAAAGCTGTTTAGTTTTTAAAATGTGAATAAATGTTGATGAATTTTGGGGAGTTATTTGGTTGATTTCAATTCTTTTAAATAAGTTCAAAATAAAAACATGAAAATTAAACTTCATTTGCTTCATTTTACTGGCACATTTTAATAACAAAAAAAAAAAAAAAAAAAAAAAAAAAAAAAAAAAAAG